AAAAAGAAAAGACAACAGTCATTAGCCACACACCTACCAACACTTGAAATGCTGATAATGCAACTAAAGAACTCATTTCTAATTCTGGTTAATTTAAATTTAAATGTGGCCAGTGGCTACTGGATTGGATAGTGTAGTTCTCTCTCTCTTTTTTTTTTTTAGATTTTCTTTATTTATCTGACAGAGAGAGACACAGCAAGAGAGGGAACACAAGCAGGGAGAGTGGGAGAGGGAGAAGCAGGCTTCCCACGAAGCAGGAAGCCCGATGCGGAGCTCGATCCCAGGACCCTGTGACCATGACCTGAGCCAAAGGCAGATGCTTAACGACTGAGCCACCCAGGCGCCCCAGGATAGTGCAGTTCTAAACTCTTCCCTCTACTTATCCTTTCTTAGTATCTACCTTTTCTCTGGTTAATGTTTATTAATGAGCTATACACTTTTTTTTTTTTTAAGATTTTATTTATTTGACAGAGACAGACACAGTGAGAGAGGGAACACAAGCAGGGGGAGTGGGAGAGGGAGAAGCAGACTTCCCGCAGAGCAGGGAGCCTGATGTGGGGCTCGATCCCAGGACCTTGGGATCATGACCTGAGCCGAAGGCAGACGCTTAACGACTGAGCCACCCAGGCGCCCTCTACGACCTTTTTTTAAATAAGCAGTACCCATTTCAACCCCTTCACCTATTTGCTCTTTTAGAGATGTGAATTTCCTCCATTAAACCTTTATCCTACTTTACTGTTATTATCTCATTTGCAAGCTTCACCAAACTATAAACTTCATGGAACTAGGAAACATGTCTGATTTCCCCCCACTGAATCCCCAGCTACTATAGTAAAAGACTGGCTTGAATGTATTAAATAGTTGCACACCATATTAACGAATAAGATTATTTACTTCAGGGGCACCTGAGTGATGCAGTCAGTTAAGTGACTGGACTGACTCTTGGTTTCGGCTCAGGTGGTAATCTCAGGGTTGTGAGATCAAGCCCTGCATTGGGGTCTGCGCTCAGCGCAGAGTCTGCTTAAGATTCTAACCACCCCACCACTTGTATGCTCTCTTACTCTTACTCTGCTACTTATTCTTCATCAGGGTTCACAGAGTACTGATCAACATTTACTGAGCATTTGTGTAAGGTACTATGCCATGTTCTGTACATGCAGTGTTTCATTTAATCCTCATATCAGTTCTTAGGTAGGATGATACTATCCTCACTTCATAAAAAAGTGATAATTAGTCTCTTATCACATCACATACTAATTCTCACTATTATAACATTGTAATAATATTTTATTTACTTTTTCATTGTCTCTTCTCAGTATAATGTAAGAAAGGCCCATGAGGGCAGGACTTTGTCTTGTTCATCTCTAGATCCCCAGCATCTACAATACTGTCTATAATGTAGTGAGCAATCAAAAAATATTTACTGAGTGAGCGGATAGATGGATGAATAAATTAAGCATTGAATGATTTAATAAAAAAAATCTAGAAAAGTTACTTGGCCAAAGTACAGGATAGGAATCAAACCCAAGCAGTGTGGCTACAGAACCCTATTAGTCACTTAGCTACTATTAAACTCCTGAATATAAATTAAAAGACCAATACTGTATAGGGGATATGGCAGAGAAGACATGCTGACATCAAAGATTTATGTAGAGTCATGTTGTATAGTATAGTATAGAGTTGTTGCTGAGGAAAGACTCCCAACCCAGGGACTACTTTTCACAGTCCCTGTCTATATAAGTAGGGTCATGTGACTACTTCTGGCCATTGGACTGTGAGAAGTAGTAACTGGTAGTAATTTCCAGGTTCACGTATCTTATGTACCTTCCCTATACTCCATTTGCTTTTCCTAGGAACCATGGAGGCTGTGTATTGAAGATGATAGCATCACAAGATGGAGAGACCTTGAATTCATGAGTGACAATCTCTAAGAAAATAAAAAATAAACTTCCTTTATTTGGGTCCTAAACCACTGAGAACTGGGAAGTATTAGTCATAGTAGGGAGCCTAACATGATTAATCCAAGAGAGCTTAAACTACAATGGTAATGGTAAATAAAGGTCTAAGATTTTTATCAGGGATTATAAAGGTAATAGAAGCAGCATGTGACTTTAAGTCAAAGACCAGGGTTTCTAAAAAAGCTTATTTGGAGAATTAAATGAGACAATGTGAAAGTAGTTATGAAAATGAAAAGCACTACGAAATTATAACTTAACTGTAGTATAAGAGGCAATATAGTACAATAGAAAACATAACAGCAGAGTCAAAAGGCCTGGGTTTAAGATCTCTACCAATTACATCATGTGTAATCTTTTTTTTTTTAAGATTTTATTTATTTATTTGAGAGAGAGGGAGAGAGAGCACAAGCAGGCAGAGGGGCAAAGGGAAGGGAGAAGGAGACTCCCCACTGAGCAGGGAGCCTGATGTGGGGCTCAATCCCAGGTCCCTGAGATCATGACCCGAGCCAAAGGCAGATGCTTAACCGACCAAGCCACCCAGGCGCCCCTACATCATGTGTAATCTTAAATCACCTGCACAATGTACTTGCCTTGCCCTGTTCAAAGAACTATTGTGAATATTAAATATAAACTCTGAGAAAACATTTTATAAACTATAAAGCAGTACAAAAAGGGAATTTTTGCGATTAGCAGGAGCACAAATATGTAAAATGTCACTGAATTCGGCAATTTAAATAGCATATTCTCTTTTAGCACTTTGGGAATAAATGTGCACATGAAAAAAAAATTCTTTTAAAATATGTGTTCTAAAAATTAAAAAATTATTCTAAAAGATACGGAGATTCTATATGTTAAAACATTTAAAACAAAATTCATAGTATTAAAATCTGTAAGTCTCTTTCAATCCTAGTGAATGATGAAAATGTACATCTTCACTACAAAACTCTAATAAAAACTACCGACTTTAATTAAAGAGACAATTTTCCCATATTTGGCTAAGGACTAAAAAGAAAAATAATCTGATTAAGTATTCATTATAACCTATGCTAAATTTACTACAGATTAATTTCCTGGCAACAAGTAAACAATTTAGTTTCATTTTAGACTAACCTGCATGTTTCTCAATTGTGCTTGTACATGCCAAAGGCACTACAGAAATTTTTTATCCCCACAACTCAAAAACATTATAGATGTGTAAAACCTAAGAAAACCCCACTGGGAACTTGGAATAAGATTAACAGTGCTGCATAATTCTACAGTCCCTAACCATACAGTATACAAAGACATGAGACTATATATATACATATATATGTGCATATATATATGACATACAACATATATATACCAGTATCAATCATTCATCTATCAAACCAATTTAATAATAAAAGAACATTCAACTTCTATTTTGCATTCTCCATTTACAAATTTACCACATTTTACTTTTTCTCCTGGAATACACACATTAAGACTAGGATATTAAAAAAACAATTGCAGGGGCGCCTGGGTGGCTCAGTCACTTGAGCATCTGACTTCTGCTCAGGTCATGATCTCAGGGTCCTGGGATAGAGCCCTGCGTAAGGCTCCCCACTCAGCAGGGAGTCTGCTTGAGATTCTCTCTCTCCTTCTCCCTCCGCCCCACCCCCTGCTCATGTTCTCTGTCTCTCAAATAAATAAATAAAATCTTTTATTTTTTTTTTTTAAGATTTTTATTTATTTGACAGAGACACAGTGAGAGAGGGAACACAAGCTGGGGGAGTGGGAAAGGGAGAAGCAGGCTTCTCGCTGAGCAGGGAGCGGGCTCATGACCTGAGCCAAAGGCAGACGCTTAACAACTGAGCCACCCAGGCGCCCCTATTTAGTATCTTTGACCTTAGATCTTTTTAGGACCTCTGAGAATGAAGAACAATATCTAAGATTCGGTAGTTCTTAGTTTTACTTCTATTTCATTTTTAAAATGTTTCATTCAAATAAAATTAAAGTTAATATTCAACTATTATGATTCAAAACTTACATATTAAATATATTTCACACACTCAACTATTATATAATTTTTATGATTTCAGGTTAGTTTTATTTTCTTCTAATAAATTCAGATAAAAATAAATATTTTAATCACAAAGATGTTCAGTATAATCTTATCCTTAAAAAATTCATTCTATATTCTAGCCATCCACTCAGTCTTTCATTAAATATACAGAGAATTATCTGAAATGTTAATCAAATACTAACAACTACTTATTTCTGAGGGTTTTTATTTTTTTTTAAGATTTTATTTACTTGACAGAGAGAGCACAAGCAGGGGGAGTGGCAGGCAGAGGGAGAGGGAGAAGCAGGCTTCCTGCTCAGCAGGGAGCCCGATGCGGGACTCGATCCCAGGACCCCGGGATCATGACCTGAGCAGAAGACAGATGCTTCACCAACTGAGCCACCCATGTGCCCCTTTCTGAAGGGCTTAGATTTGGGGTAATTTACTGCTTTATTCTACTTTTTTGGTGTTACTTGGATTTTAAATGAGCGTGTATTATACTTAAAAGCATAATACAGTTGTGGTTTTGTTTTTTGTTTTTTTAAAGATTTGACAGAGAGAGATACAGCGAGAGAGGGAACACAAGCATGGGGAGTGGGAGAGGGAGAAACAGGCCTCCCGCTGAGCAGGGAGCCCGATGTGGGGCTCGATCCCAGGACCCCGGGATCATGACCTCAGCTGAAGGCAAATGCTTAACGACTGAGCCACCCAGGCACCCCTTGTGTTTTGTTTTAATGAGAAAAACAACTGTTTGATCACTATAATCTTTCCCCAGAGTTCCCCAGCTAGAGAGTCAGTCCACAATCAAAAGACTATTTTTCAGTATAGAAAATAAAACAAAACAAAAAAATCCAAAAATCTTCAATGCAGAAGTGCTGCCGTTATCAACAAGAACACAAAACCTCAATAGAGGCTTTGAAGCTTTGAGTTTTCTCTCTTTGGGCTCAGTAGTACCTAAATGTGCAGACTATCATCAACAGATATATGGTATCTCCAGAAGAAGCCCCAACTCATACCTTTACAACAGGATGTCCCCCAGTAGATGCTTTTACTGCTCCTCGACTACCTTCAGTTTCATAATGGGCTCGATGATGAGTTTTAGGTTGCACTTCTATTTTCAGTTCACACTGTCCAAAATGAGTTGGTAAAGGCCAGTCTAGTGGAGGTAATGAAGATGTGCTATAAACAAAACACACAAAAAATTCATTTCACCATGCTATTATTGCCAAGCAATGATTCAAATCACTTCTTTGCTAGCAACGAACATTTCTTTCTTCCTGTGATCTCTGAAGCAGAGTATTGCAAAACTTCACTTAATAAGTTATAACACTGGATATGATGGGTACTTAAGAAATAATTCTTTAACCTGAGGAATAAAATCAATTTCATTTACTTCTTGGTTTCCTGTATTTTTTTTTTTAAAAAGGACAAGTTTTAACATTCTGTAAAACTATAACTGATTCTCAACTATGTGTACATAATTATAAAAACAAAAGAATTTAATTTTCTTAAGCAAAGATGTCCATCTGTGTGTATGTATATCAATGTCTAAGGATCCAAACATCCCTGTATCTCAGTACATAGACCTCCTTCATGATGTGTAGCTATAGAAGTTAGTCTGCTGTACATGTTGCTTCCCAACATTCTCCCTATAGCTCTTTTCCCTGTCTCACTGAAATACTGCTTATAGTCAGCAGTACACTGTAATTTGAGGAACAAATTTAATTTCACTATACACCTGGCTGAAAAAAATATAAGGCCTATCACTGAAGCACTCTGTCAATTTTAGAGAAAATGTCAGTTGATCAGTAAGATAATTTAAACAGCTTAAAGGGGTAGGGATACAGATTCATTCAGAGATATTAACACTGAAAATGTGGGATTTAAAAAAGAAGTAACTTATACATCTATAGGTCAAATATTAAAGGACCCAAAGCTACAATAATTAATGTTAAAAATATCTTCTTAGTGACTGATGAAATAGGACTTTTAAGGTCTCTTCCACCTCTGAAATGCTGTTATTCCTATCATTCATTTCTTTGAATGTCCCCAGCCCAGCTTTACTAACTACTGTGAAACACAAAAGGTATTAACTTTTACTAGTCTGAAACAACTCAATTTCAACTCTCAGCTAGTTTCCACACTGTTCCATAGACTTAAGTAAACCCCTAAAAAGATTAAGATAATTTTCAGAAGCAGTGTGCATGATAGGCTTAAAGGTGTCTTCAATACCATAATTCCACATTTTATTTTTCTAAAGATCTGGATCAAGAAATAAACATTCATACCAGTGAAAAATCATTAAAAAAAAAAAAGTAAACAAACCCAACTCCACCATGTGGACGATAACAGTTGTCTTTTCTAATCAATTATAGACTAGATTGATTCTATAAAATAGGATTATGGTAACTGATCAGTCATTTGGAAAATAAAGTTGTTACACTTTACTCCAGTCCTTAGCTAGACTCAAGATTCAAATATATATATATAAATACAAATACTGTATGTTATATACATATATTATAAAACTAATATGTAAATAAAAATTTTATTAGAAATGTACAAGTTAGATTTTTGCTTATTTTTAATTATTTTAGACTGGGGTAAGGCTTTCAAATATAACACAAAATCCAAAAGCCATACAGCAGAAGACAAATTTGAATACATAAAATGTTAAAATTCCTCTACACTAATAAAAAAGTCAAATTTATAAAGTCAAAAGACAAAAAATTGTGAAAAAAGCTTGCCTTAATATACAAACTTCATTTGTACAATAAGTTCTTAAAAATATAAAAAGCCTATTCGCAATTAGTTTTATTAGTAATTTAACTCATACTATAATCAAACCCTTTACAAGAAGCTTTTTTAGATAAGAAAATTCTTTCTAGGGATTCTTAAATGTAATTTGCTATTATTTACAATTCATTATCTATATGCTTTTAAAATGCTAAGTCCAGCCTCTATAAAGGCCCTTTTAAGACTCAATGGAAAAGACTTTAATTGATTTGTCCAAAAGACACTGAAAAAGGGGGCGGGGGGAATGGTCAAACCATTCCATATAGATAATGTAGTCGCATGCCACCAATAACCCATAAGCATGAACAATGACCAGCAGCCATTTCCATCAACTCACCGAAATATTGGGGTGTGGCCAGGCTTTGGTTTGCTCCAGGTAAAAGGTGAAGGAACTGAAAGAAACTGGTCACCAGATGAATCTTTCTTTAAAGGATACTGAGATCCAAGGCCATCATCTATCGAAGTCTCCCGGGATGGTGATAAATTCCCTTGGTCATCTGAACAGAGCTCTAATTTTCCTGGTAGTACAGTGGCTTGATCTTCAGAAGTCTTCCTTGTTTTCAGAGGGATATCAGTCTCTACACAGTACTGAAATGGAAAAAGTGCAGGGCCAAGGCCTGATCCCCCCTGGACAGAAGCATTAAGCCAGGTATCTTCTGTTACACTTCCCCTGGGGGAGTGACCAGGAGAAGGAACAGGTGAGTGATGGGGTGAAAGGGACCCAGCATAACAAACCTCAGCACTGGAGTGCCGGCGTTTCCCACAGGGGGAGGTAGGCCTTGATGAGGGCCCTGAGGCTGGCCTGGGGCTCAGCCAATTCTCATCAGTGACACTAGATCTAGGAGAGTGGCAAGGAGATTGCCTGGGTGACAAGGAGTGTCCAAGTCCATATTGTTGATGCCAGGACTCTTCCCCAGGGCAGCCTCCTGGCGAGCCACCAGGAGAAGTCAGAGGGGATCCGAGAGTAAATCGGGCGGCAGCTTCGTTCAACTCCGAATCCACATCATCATAAATGTGTGAAAGAGATTCACAAGAAGATGCATCTGAGAACCAGCTCCTAGAAGATATACTGCTGGCAGGACTAGGACTAAGGGAAGACTCCCGGTAGGATGGCTCAAGAGGAAGATAGAGATGATCTCTAGAAGGCCTTTCCAAATACTCCCTTTCTGGGTCATTTATGTGTAGGTCATCTTCATGAGCATCTATTTCTTGATGACAGTTAGGAGAGATGGATGTAATTTGAATACTTGGGCACTCAAAAGTTTTGGGACCACCTAATGGGCTGTATTTAGATTCAGGAATCTCACAAGTTCCTTCATAGTTTTTGTGACCTTGGAGCTGAAACGATGGTGACAAAACAGAAGAGTGAGACGGTAATCCATGATGTGGTAAGCAAAGTGGTGAGTTTAAAGCAGATGGAGGTGGATCTACATTAAAGATGTAAATGGATGCACAATCATCTGGCTCAAGATCTATGGGGGGAAAGAAAAAAAAAAGAAAAAAAATCAACAAAACAAGAAATTAGAAAATTTAGATGTATAAATTACTAGATGAGAAAGTAAATAATAATCTTGAGAGAAAAAAGTGGATACAAAATGTGTATCATTAGCTCCACTACAGAGTGGTGTGTGTGTTTTGTTTATATTCAAATCCCTTCTCTGCCAACACCAACAATGTGGGTTTTTTTTTTTTTAATTTTTAACATAATCTCTACACCCAACATGGGGCTTGAACTCACAACCCTGAGATCAAGAGTTGCATGCTCTACTGAATGAGCCAGCCAGGCGCCCCAACATGTATTTTTTAAAAAATATATCTGGTTATTTCTGCAGATATGTTATTATTACATATTTATATTTGTAATTATAGGTGTAATTTTTCCCTTATTTCTACATTTTCTAAAATGAAAATCACAAAACATCTGAAAATAAATGCTTCTATAAAAGAAATAATCAGGGGCACCTGGGTGGCTCAGTTGTTAAGTGTCTGCCTTCGGCTCGGGTCATGATCTCAGGTTCCTGGGATCGAGCCCCACATCTGGCTCCGCCTGTTTCTCCCTCTCCCACTCCCCCTGCTTGTGTTCCCTCTCTCGCTGTCTCTCTCGCTCTGTCAAATAAATAAATAAAATCTTAAAAAAAAAATCATATTCATAATTCCAAAAAACATTCATGGAATTATAAAATGATACAATTCTATAAATTCAGCCTCATCTGGGGTCTGCAAGTTAAAATGGAATAAAGAATAGAACAGTCTTTGAAATGTTTTTAGTTCATAAGCATACACACTAAGTTTATTAATGCGAAGGATTACAGACTCAACTTAGGAGACCTAGATTCTAGTTCACCTTTGCCATTAACTGTGAGCTCTTAGTAGTATCATTTAACCTCTCCAAGACCTCAATTTTCGTGCAGTAGTGCCAGAACTTTCCACTAAAGAATTTTTTTTTTAATTTGAGAGAGAGAGCGTGCACACATGCGCACATGAATGGGGGAGGGGCAGAAGGAGAGGGAGAATCTCAAGCAGATTCCCCACTGAGCACTGAGCCTGCGGGGCTCAATCCCAGGATCCTAAGACCATGACCTAAGCCAAAATCAGATGCTTAACCGACTGAGCTACCCAGGTGCCCCCAAGAAATTTTCATGATTAACAATAGTAGCTTTCTCTTTCAACAACATACCATCAAGAATTTCTATCTTTGGACATAGCAGACCAGTTTACAAGAGCCACATGATCCCACTGGATCCTTTACCTCAACTAGAAAATAACTCATTAGAGCCTTTAACCTATGATTGGTTGTTAAAGTAAACCTCATAATGGCAGAGCTTTTAAAATGCAACCCTTGCTGGATGGAATATTTAACACTAAACAAGTCCTGCCAAATTACCTCCTGAGAGTATTTGCAGCAATACGGGTATTTTGCAACTTGACTTTTAGAATGGAGTGATTATTATCCTTTTCACAGAGACAGAAGTTTGAAGCACTAGCACAAGGTGCTGGTTAACACCTTCACTTTTTCCAAAGAGATCATTGGGAAACCAAAGACGAAACTGTTCATAGATAGAACAGAGAGAAGCAAAAACCTTTAGCCTCTTCTCAAAAGTACTCAAGGAGATCACATTATTTCATTACATTAGTACCCCTGGAAAATAACATCTTTAGAATCCTAGTGCTGCTATCATTAACCAACATCCCATAATTTAACTATCTCCATAAATTCTAGATTTTGGAACTTTAAAGATGATCTATGGTTAGTGACCACATTCAGTAAAGAGTTTTTACATGTATTAAAACAAACAAACAAACAAAAAAACCCCCTATGTTTAATTAAACCCTGGCTCTGCCATTCCATAGCTGTACAAATTTGGACAAGTTATTTAACTGGCTTGAACCTCAGTTTTCTGAGGCAGTTTTTTTCTATAAAACTGTCAGGAGGTGAGCAGGGTATCAAGTGAAACACACACGACCATTTTAAAACAAGCAACCTAATATAAGGATTAATATTTAGCAAGAATTCACTACATGTTAATTACCTTGTCTTTCCCTTTTAAAAATTTAAGATGGGTATGTTATATTATACTTTATTATTTTTTTTTAACTCTGTAGTATTTCTTAATAAACTGTAACACCTTTTTAAGTACACCACTCACTCCACACTCCCACTCCACTTACTGAATCAAGATAAGTAGGAAGGTTAGAGCTCCAAAGAAGAAAACTGCTATTTGACAGTGACAAAAGCTGGGGGGAAAAGCTTTTAAAAATAAACTTGTGGTAAGCATAGCATAATGTATAGAGATACTGAAACATTATGTTGTACACCTGAAACTAATTTAACATTGTGTGTCAACTATACTCAAATAAAAATGAATTGAACAACAAAAATAAGAGATTTGGGGAAAACAGTGAGTCACTTCTAATGGGTATTGGGTTTCTTTCTGGAGTGATGAAATTTTTTTTTTAAAGACTTTATTTATTTACTTGACAGAGTGAGAGAGAGAATGAGAGCACAAGCAGGGGGAGCAGCAGAGGGAGAGGGAGAAGCAGGCTCTCTGCTCGGGGCTTGATCCCAAAACCCTGGGATCATGATGAGTCGAAGGCCAACGCTTAACCGACTGAGCCACCCAGGCACCCCTGGAGTGATAAAAATGTTCTAATATTGACTGTGGTGATGATTACCCTACTCTGTAAATATACTAAAAACAATGAATGGTACGCTTTAAATGGGTGAATTGTATGGTATGTGAATTACAACCTAATAAAGCAGTTATGAAAATATATATAGAACACATATTATCAAAAAAAAGAACACATATTATCTATATTTTATCACAATTAAAACTTTTGTAGAAGTTAAAAACATGTTTCTTATCTAAGAAAATCATAAACAAATGCTATCACCTAACACTTAACTAATATTTAACATTTTCATATATATCTTTGTCTACATGGGTATATTTTTTATATAGCTGTGGGTCACAGTATTTCGGAGGTTGTACTGGTTGTTGTTTTTTTTAAGGTTTTATTTATTTGAGAGAGACAGCCTGAGCAGGGGTGGGAGGGAGAGGAAGCAGCAGACTCCTCACTGAGCAGGGAGCCCAACATGGCAGGACCCCAAGATCATGACCTGAGCCAAAGACAGACACTTTTTTTTTTTTAAGATTTTATTTATTCATTTGAGAGAGAGAGAGAGAGAACACAAGCAGGGGGAGAGGCTGAGGGAGAGGGAGAAGCAGGCTCCCTGCTGAGGTGGGAGCCCAATGTGGGGCTTGATCCTAGGACTGGAGATCCATGACCTGGAGATCATGATCATGAGTCGAAGGCAGACGCTTAACCATCTGAGCCACCCAGGCACCCCCGAAGACAGACACTTACCTGACTGAGCCACTCAAGTGCCCCTGTTAACAGTATTCTTAAAAAAAAAAAAAAAAAAAAAACACAAAAAAACCCCCAAAAGCCCCCACTTTGGCTAGTTTCCAAGTCATTACGTCTCCACCAAGAGTAACCACTATTCTGACTTCTAATAGCCTAGCTTTGTTTTGCCTGTATAACATACAACTTGTCTTTCAATGTTTTTTTTTTTTTTATTGAGGCTTATAAAAAGTTCCTAAGCAATTTTCAAGGCCATGTCTTAAAAGGTCAAGAGTCAATGATCATAGCTATTTCCTGTTATTTTGATAAATAATATAGCTTTGAACAGCTCTATACATAGAGCTTTTTCTCTTTTGAATTTCTCTCCAGGAATAAATACCTAAAGGTGCAGTTACTAGATCACAGGGTACCCATTTTTAGCACTTCTACTATGAAGAGACATTTGTTTCAAAAGACTTGTTTTAATATGCAACATGGGAAGGACATGAATATCAGTTTTACTTTAGTTTCTCCAACCAGGATGTTATCTTTTAATTTTCATATAATTTAGAGTAAAAATGGTTCTGTATGAAATACAATGTTTCTAGGCTGCAAAAAACAGAAAATCCATTTGAAAGTAGCTGAAGGGAGGGAGGGTATTTTCCAACATAACAAGAGGTCCAAAGGTAAGGCAGTTCCAGAACTGGTTATTTCATCAGTTCAACAAGGTCACTGATAAATCAATTTATTTCTATATTTCCATTTTGCCACTTTTGGGGGTGCTAACTTTGTGCTGTTCACTTTCAACCACATATGTGTATTTTGTCCTAAACCAGAAGCAACGATCATTCATTTAAACAAATTTTTTTAAAGATTTTATTTAGGGCACCTGGGTGGCTCAGTTGGTTAAGCAACTGCCTTCGGCTCAGGTCAAGATCCTGGAGTCCCAGGATCGAGTCCGCATCGGGCTCCCTGCTCAGCAGGGAGTCTGCTTCTCCCTCTGACCCTCCCCTCTCTCATGTGCTTTCTCTCTCTCAAATAAATAAATACAATCTTTTTTTTTTAAAAAAAGATTTTATTTATTGGGGCTCCTGGGTGGTTCAATCGTTAAGCGTCTGCCTTTGGCTCAGGTCATGATGCCAGGGTCCTGGGATCAGGCCAGGCATCCGGCTCCCTGCTCAGCAGGAGCCTGCTTCTCCCTATCCCATTCCCCCTGCTTGTGTTCCCTCTCTAGCTGTCTCTCTCTGTGTCAAATAAATAAATAAAATCTTAAAAAAAAAAAAAAGATTTTATTTATTTTGTCAAAGAGAGAGAGAGAAAACACGAGCACAAGCGAGGCGGCGGGGGGGGGGGGGTGCGGAAGGCAGAGAGAGAAGCAGGTTCCCTGCCGAACAAGGAGCCAGATGCAGACTTGATCCCCCGACCCTGTGATCGTCATGACCTGAGCCGAAGATAGACGCTTAACCAATTGAGCCACCCCGGCATCCCTAAAAAATATTTTCTGAGTAGCTGCTATGTAACAGGCATGTTCTAGACACTGAAAACACAAGAGTAAACAAAACAAAGCCCCATCCTCACAGAGCTTCCATTCTACCGTGAAATAAAAGAAAATGTCATTTTAAATGGA